GTCCTTCAGGAACTCAACAGAAAAATCAAACCAATGTCTGGAAGATAGATATGAGATCCAGAGCCAAGCTTATCACTGACTCACAGCCCTGCCAGCAAAGTGGTCCCTCATCCACGTGGCACTGGGTTCTGGCTGAAGCAGAGAAGCTGGGAGGAAAAGGCTGCTAGGAGGCACCAAGGAGCCTCAGTGGCACCAGGTGTAGGTTCCAGTTGTGGAAGGGAAGGAGAGCAGGTCTTCCAGGATAGGATTCCTGGGAGAGGTTCCCATGGAGACACCTCTGTGGTTCCTGCACAGGTGAATGCATGCACCTGCACACACACAGACCTGCACACAGACACCTGCACACACACCTGCACAATAAACACATGCACACACCTGAACACATATAGGTTTTTCTGGAGTGATAGCACAGCGGTAGGGCACTTGCCTTGCATGCAGCCAACATGGCCAACCCGAGTTCGATTCCTCCACCCCTACCGGAGAGCCCGGCAAGCTACCGAGAGTATTCGATATGCCAGACACAGTAACAACAAAGTCTCCAATGGAGACGTTACTGGGCCCGCTCGAGCAAATCGACGATCAACGGGAGGGCCTTTACTTTACTTTTACTTACTTTGTTTTTTAAAGAAATGAGGCATGTATTTATTTTATTTTTTGGTTTTTGTGTCACACCCAACGTTGCATAGGGGTTACTCCTGGTGGTGCTCAGAGGACCATATGGGATGATGGGAATCAAACCCAGGTCTGCCATGTGCAAGGCAAATGCCTTACCCGCTGTGCTGTTGCTCCAACCCCTGAATGCATATAGGTTTGCACACAAACACACATGCACACATACCTGCAGGCAGACACACCTCAGTTCACACACACCTGCAGACACACAGACACCTGAGTATACACAGCAGCATACACACATACACCTGCACAAACACATGCAGAAACACATCTGCACTTTCACGCTCTGATGCACACATTCACCTGCATACACATAGTGCACACTCCCACTCATGCACACACATCACACAGGTGCAGAACCATGTGCATGCATACACCAAATCCTTTGTTTCCAGTTATGGCCATTATATGACCCAGAGAAGAGAACGTCTGGCCTTCCCCCCCCCGGAACAAGTCTGCAGCTTCCAGCAGAAACAGCACCTGGGAGAAACAGCCTTTGTGGAAAGGGGGGGCTCAAGGTGACCCCCACCCAGCATAACCCTCAGCTAAGCCCAACTGAACTGTGCCTTCTCGTCCGTCTGTGAATTGGCTCCCACAGAAACTTCCAGGATATGTAGAGAGAATGTCCCCTCCTCTCAAGAGCAACAGGGCTGAATAATAAATGCAGGACAAGTTGGGGCAGATGAGTCCAGCCCTTGGCCCAGGTTCTGGTGATCTAACCTCCTTCGTTTAGCCTTGAGCAGACTCTTTTCCCCCCTGGTGTTTAGTTTTGGTTTTGGTTTTGCGGCCACACCCAGAAGTGCTCAGGGCTTCCTCTGCCTCGGCCTGACAGGCTTGGGGGATCTCTTGGGATGCCAGGGATAGAGCCTGTGTTAGCAGCATGCAAACAAGTGCCTTCAGCCCTGTGCCTTCACTCCTGCCTGTCCACCTTCTTTCCCCAAGACCCGCTGATGGGCATGTCAGGAAACATGTTCAGACCATTGTGGCACCCTCTGCTCTCTGCCTGACTGGGGGTTGGATTGGGTCCATACCCAGCAGTGCTTGTGGACTCCTCTGGCCCAGTGCTCATCTTGGTGGTCAGGCTCAGGGCTTATTCCTGGAGGTGTTCAGGGACTATGCAAGTTGGGGTTGACCCTGGAGTTCCCACACTCAGAGAGTCTGCCCTGGGCATTGGGCCATCGCCCAGATCCCTCTTTTGGCTTTATAATAAATGGGGGGCGGATCAATAGTACATCGAGGGGGGTGTTTTCTTTTCACCTGGTCGACCTGGGTTCAATATCCAGCATCCAATAGGGTCCTCCAGCACTAAAAGGAGTGATTCCTGAATGCAGAGCCAGGAGTAGCACATGAGCATCGCTGCGTGGACTCAAAAAGAAAAAAAAAGGAAGGAAGAAAGAAAGAAAGAAAGAAAGAAAGAAAGAAAGAAAGAAAGAAAATGAAACCATGAAGATACCTGAGTACTTGTCTTAGGGCCCCATGAAGGAGTAGCAGATGAAGACCTAAACACTCACCTGACTATCTCAGACACATACAAACACACACACACACGCACCCTCACACCACACACTCATAAACACACCACAGAAACACCTCAAACACAGACACACACACAATCTTGCACCACAGACACATACTTACCTTACATCAGGGACACAAATACACCTCACACCACAAACATATACCTCACAGCGCATGCACAGTTTACACCAGGCGCACACTTAAACATACCTCACAACACACAGCTTACACCACAAACATGAACACACACATACCTGTCAGAGCACACACAGTTCACACCACAGGGACATTTCTGTTACTTTCTCAGACACACACACAGTTCAGACAAGAAACACACACACCCTCATACCACAGACACATGTGCCTCAGACTACAGACAAACATACTTCAGACTATGTTGCAGACATAGACACACCTTATTTCAGAGACTCATACACCTTACACCAAACACACTGTCACTATACAAAACTCATCTCTCTTTCTCTCTCTCTCTCTCTCTCACACACACACACATACACACATGCACACGCACACACCTCACACACCGGATCTCAGGTGCACACTCCTCACCATGGACTGTGACTTCCTGACACCATGCAAGTCATCCAACACACATCTTACACCATAAGAAAAAAAAACACTCCAGTCACACCACACACATACATGCCTCACGCCACACTGGAACCTGAAATTATAGCACAAATACAATTTGGGTTGTGTGACAATCACACAGACCTTAACTCCCAAGATCAAGCCCAGGGACACAGTTCACACCACAAACACATGCACATCACACTCACACAGTGCCTCAGACGCTCTCCTCACATGCATCCCCACAGACACAAGCTCCTCACACACGTTCTCCTCAGGCGTGTCCCCCGACCTTGCCTCACCCAGTCCAGATGTCCCAATCCTCAGGCCCTGAGACCCCACTGTTCTGGGCCCCCTACCCCACAGCTGTCCTTGCAGAGGCCTGTGAGAGATTGGGGAGGTGTGGGGGGCTCTCCATGGTGGGACGGACTTCAGAGCAGGGGCGCCAGAGAGAGCAGGTGGGGTGTGGAGGGGCGACTGTGAAAGGGGGTGAGGGAGCGTCTGAGCCTGAAGCACCTGTTTCCTGAACTGTGGTCCGGAAACTGATTCCTGTGGAGAAACAGACACAGGCCTCAGCATCTGCCCATCAGACCAGCTTCCCGGGGCTGGATGTGCCTTCCTTATTAGGGGAACCCCCCCACACCCCGCACCTGTGTCAGCAGCGCGAGGCCTCAGGGAGGAGGCGATAGAGCATCTGGAGAGGTGACAGAGTGTGGGCCAGAGGCACTGACCTGGGTCCTTTGCAGCCTTGCATGAACGAGACCTGATGAAACTGAGGCAGAAAGTAGCACGGAGACCTGAGCGGGAAGAGGCTGACCAGAACAGTGGTTGTGTGAGCCCCGGGGTCCTGGCACCCAGCAAACTCCACCCACACAGCGGCCAGGGTGAGGGAGTGGCTGAGGGGCGCTGGGAGCCCTGGGACGAAAGCGCTTCTCCCAGAAGTCCGGGCCGGGGGCTGCTGGGTGAGGGGGTTCCGGGGGCCAGGGGGTGACCCTCCCTCAGCCTCCTCAGCTTGTGAGCTGGGCCCACAGGGGCCACAGCCCAGGGCTCAGGACCCTCCCCCGGGTTGGGTCCCAGCCAGTCCGGCCTGGGGGCTCTGGCTACAGGCCAGCATGGAAATGGGGGCCCTACCCCCACCAGAGCCTCTGTGAGCCTGAGGGTCACACCCTCCCACACACCTCACTCTGCACCTCTGACAGGCTAGAGGTGTGAGGACAGCTTCACTCAGGGCTGGGGGGCTGGGCTGAGGACCCTGAGCCACGCTCCCCCCAACCCCCAACCCCTGCTCCTTCTTGGAAGCTCGGGGACCAATTCCGGATCCCCACCTCAAATTCTGGCCCCGTCCTCCCCTGACAGGCTCTCCTCACTGCTCCTGGGGACCCTGTCATCCTGAGCCCTTGTCTTCCTCGCTGGGTCACCATGGGCATGCCCAGATCCTGGGGGTCCTGTCTCCTGTCTGCCCTGCCGGGTGACCGCTGTGTCCTCAAGTGGGGCCTCATGGGCCTGTACTCATGGGCCTGTGCTGGGATCCGGACGTGACCGTGGCCCTTGCTCAAACCCCGCCCTAGGAGGCCCTTGGGAAGATGACCCCTCCCCAGGGTCTGGCTGCAGGGGTGGGGACAGGCCGGGGCAGGGACCATGAGGACTCTGGACTGTGTCTGCAGGGCAGGGAATGTCCCACCTAGAGCTGCCTCTCAGCTTTGTCTGGGCACGGGCTGAAGTGGAGGAGGGCCCTGGATGGACCCCAACGGAACAGCTGAGGACTGTGTCCAGAATGATCTGTTGGCCTCAGCCTCTCTGATTCCTCCCTGGACATGGCCCTGAGCAGCCTACGTAGACACGGCTCTGATATCCAGGAGGTTTCAGTTGTGTTCAGTCATGGGGAGCCCCAGGAGACGGGGGGAGCAGGAGGAAAGCCTGGGAGGGGTTGACTGTCCCAGGTGCGGGTACCCTGAGGGCACAGCTCCTGCCACCAGTCTGCCCTCAAGACCCTCTTTATCCTGAGTGATCATGGACTTGGTTTACCTGCTCACAAAGGCCTCACCTGAAGGTTCTAGAAGCCCCCAGTCCCTCCTCTCTTCCCTTCATTCTGCTGGCCTAGCAGGTCGCCTTTGTCTGCAAGTATTCAAGGATCCTGGGGGCACAAACCCAGCAGAGCCCGGGGCCCACCTTGCCTGGAGGGTGGCATTTACCGTGAAGCTGGTGCCCATGGTGGCTTAGAAGGAGCCTGCGAGAAACTTGCCCTGGTCAAACTTCCCCATGCTGCTGTCGCCTACCAGGATGGTCTGAGAGGGAGCAGAGAGAGGTTGAGGGATACCTAATACAGTCGTTTCAGGCATTCAATATTCCAATCCCACCACCAGTGTCACCTACCATCCACCAGTGTCCCCCAGTTTCCCCCAAGCCCGTCCCTTGCTACCATGAGTAAGTTCACTTCACATTTTTTATTTTGACACAAAGGCAAGAGGAATGAACAAAGCTTAGATGGGTAGGAGTCACTTTGTGGTGATTGTCCCCTAACTCTGGGGTTAGTAAAGCCACCATCTGTGGCTGTGCTGGGCTGGTTGCTGCTGGCTGAGCCTCTAGTTACTGATCAGACCCCTGAGCTGGGGGCTTCTGGGCAACTTTCCCATCAGCCTCGCTGTGACCCTGAGGGCCGACAGCGCTGTGGAATTCTGAGGCCTGGGAGTTTCAGTGTGGAGCGATGTTGGGGCTGGGCAGCTTGATGAGGGCCAGCTCTGGAGCTGAGTGGAAGGGGTGGGGGTAGACGGGGCTGCTTGGCCTTCAGGCAGAAAGCGGAATCTCCACGCCCCCATTCCAGGAGCCCTCCAAGTTCTCAGCCCGGACCAGTCTACCCGGGTGTTTAGGCAGCATCGTGTGCTTTTGGAGACTGTGCTGGGCCAGTTCTCTTTGGCAGTGCAGCCTGACCCATCACATCTCCGCTACTATTGTCATTTCTACTTAAGTTTCCAGCAGACAGACCCACACAATGCCCAGCTTCCGGCCACTCCAGCAGCACAGTGGAAAGACCTGGACCCACAAGGCCCACATCCTGCGAAGAACAGAGGCTGTGTGGGAGGGGCCTGTCTCTGTGGGGTCTTCACACCCCCAGCGGTGACCCCAGCATTACCCCGCGGCTGACACAGGACCCTGCTGTCTGCAGAGCATTCTAGAAAGGAAAGAAGTCTTTCCGCGGCCCTGAATCTTCAGACGAGTCAGAGAGAGAAAGGGCTTCAGAGGAGACGCCTCTGTACCCGTGACTCCTGCGCTGACGGAGAGACGGTTCAGCATCAAGATGGACAGAGGGAGCCAGGACACCCCTAGTGACACACACAGTGGATTCCCCTGGGGGTCAGAGCAGTTCCCGGGAAACCATGGCCCTGAGAGAGGCAGGTTCCACAGCACATGGGGCAATGGGCACCGAGCCAATGGGGACTTCAAGTTTCTGTGCAGACAGTTTATCACCAACCCAGGAAAGACCACCATGACCACTGGGAAGAGCCGCCACCCCCAGTGGTATGTGGCTGCAGCTGCTGGGGCTCCTGTCACCGGAATATATGTGTCATCTGTCACCTACCACCTGTCACCCTCCGTCCTTCATCTTTCAGAGACAGGGGCCCGGGCCCCGCCAGCCTAGTCCTGTGGGGTTGCTAACGGACAGGCTGACTTGTCTGTGTGCAGCGGGTCTGGGCTGCTGGGCAGGGGCCGTCACCACTCAGGGTTACCGCTCAGGGTCACAGTCTTGAGTCTCTGAGGTCCGTTTGGGGTCCTGGGGGTTCTTCAGCTTTTGACAGTGCAGTCGAGGATGGGAGAAAGAGGGATTGGGGGAGGCTGGTGTCCCTTGGTGGGGAGATATGGGGTCAGTCCTCATGACCTGCGTTTATGCTACTCGTTCTGGGAGGCTCCTGCATTTGTCTCCGGGCTCAGCTGCTCTCAGGAGGCCCGGAGAAGTTTTCAGTCAAGCTGGTGGTCCTTGACTGTGACTTGTGACTATAACAGTTGGTATACGTGGGACCCAAAGTGGTGGTGCCGAGGGGTGACTGTGAGTGACTGTCGGAACCGTGTAGAAACCGCTGGAGCAGGAAAGGTGGTGAGGAAAGATCGGGTGACCATCAGGGACAACAGGAGTCAGCACAGGTTCACCGTGACCATGGAGCAGTTCAGGGAAGATGACGCTGGCACGTAATGGTGCAGGATCGAGGCAGCTAAATTTACTCTGAGGTTCCGGATCAGGGTGACCATCAGACTAGGTAGGTGACTGTGTCCATGTTACGAGTCCCCCAGGCCCTGCTCTGACTTCTCCTCGGGTCCCTCTCCTGTCCTCATCAGTCACGCTGAGGGGACTGTCCTGGGGCTGGGTCCTGGCCTCATGCCCATGTGGCTACTGGGGTAGGGGAGGGATTTCTCTGCGATGCTCATGGGCTCCCCCAACCCGGGTGCTCCCGCCCTCTCTGGGCTCAGTGCTCTCTGCCCAGGTCGAGGCTGGCCTGGCCGTTAGAGCCGCCTGTGACCTGGTCTCTCGGTCTCTTTGTCCAACTCCAACCCCAGTCCCGAGCACTACCACCGTATCCACCACGACCAGCACAACCACCAATGCACCCATGACAGCGGCCACCACAGGTGAGACCATTGGCGCCCCAAGTGTGACTAGGGCCCTCTCCAACACCACGTGAGCCAGTCACATGCTCTGCTCTCTGCCGCGTCCCTCTGGGCCCACTGATCCATGGGGAGCCCCAGGACTTGTCTCTGGATCCTCAGGCTCTTCGAGTGGTGCAGTTGGGATCCCTACTTTCCTCTCTGCTCCAGCGACCCTGAATCTGAAACCAAGACGATGATGGGGTGGAAGGCACCCTCTAGGCTCCCTGGAGACCACGTCTCTGGCCCCGATCCTGGCTCTGTCCCCACCAACATCCCCCATGTCTCCTATCCTGCCCTTTGCCCGTGTCCTCTCTAATTTCCACCTCTGTCATAGGGCCCGGAGCCCAGGTTCCTCCACCTGGATCTGTTGGCAGTACTGAATTCACAGAGGTCCCATAGGAGGTGCCAATGGTCATATTGGTGGTTTGGGATTTAGCAACATTCATTAAAGTACTGTTTTATGGAATTTATATTCTATTGAGAGAATAAATGAAAAGCGCAGCATGTTTAGGAAAAAAAAGAATATCTCCTGGTTCCAGAGTGATGTAGAGCGGGGAGCACATTGGCCTTGTATGCAGTCAACTTGGGTTTGATTCCCGACCTCCCGTATGGTCCTCCAGCACTGCCAGGAGTGATTCCTGAGTGCAGAGCCAGGAGTAACCCCTGAGAATCCCTGGGTGTGATCCAGAAATCCAAGAATAAGCAAATAAAAAATTAATTTAAAAAAAGACAGAGTACTTGTGCTTCTGGGGCCGTGGCCGTGCTGGAGAGCCGCTCGCGGGGGGCAACTGGTGACCTCGGTAGGGCGTGAAGGACGGACCAGAACGCCCCCCATCCCATGAGGTTTTAGTCGCCCCCACACCCCCGGCTCATACCTGCTGTCCACAAGGCTCCCATGTGGCCGCCATCTTTCTTTCCAGAGGGAGGAGGGCGGAAGGGAGCAACACCCTTTCCCCTCTGGGCAGAAATGATTGCCTGGATTAACGCATAGTCCTTTCACTTTTCTACTCCAAGCTGCTGGGTTCTGCATTAGGTCATTGTGCTTCTGGGGCTGTGACCGTGCTGGAGAGCCGCTCGTGGGGGCAACTGGTGGCCTCGGTAGGGCGTGAAGGGCGGACCGAAAAGCCCCCCTGAGACATAAACCTGAAAGCTTTGTAACCTTTCCCACAGTGATTCAATAAAAAAAAAAAAAGACAGAGTAAACTTTGAGCACAACTATGAGTGGCCAGAGAAAAAACAAACAAAAAGCCAAAAAGAAGAGAGAACTTGCCTGGTCCTAATTTTAAAAACTGAGATATCTTTTGTAAATAACACAGTACTGTTCAGGGCTTGCCCCTGGTCTGTGCTTTGGATTCACTTCTGGTGGTGCTGGAACATGTGGGGAGGCAGGGACCAAACCAGGGTTTGGAGTATGCAGGACAAACACCCTACCTGCTATGCTATTGCTTCAGACACTATAACAGAAGTACTATAAGTTTGCCGGGTCACATGCTAATTTAATTTCACAAGACTTTATTTTTGAAGTCAGTTTTGGCTTTTACACACCAGTTTAGATATGCAGTATTTCCTTCCTTCCTTCCTTCCTTCCTTCCTTCCTTCCTTCCTTCCTTCCTTCCCTTCCCTTCCCTTCCCTTCCTTCTTTCCTTCTTTTCTTCCATCCTTTTTCCTTCCTTCCTTCAATTATTTTTTCTTTCCTTCTTTCTTTTCTCATTCCTTTATTGCTATACACCAAATAGTAATCCAAGGACCTCACACATTCAAGGCAAGTACTCTATCACTAAGCTAAATTCCCAAACTTGGTGTTTTTATTGAAAAAAATACAAGTCTTTATACATTTATATTGTCTATAATTTATATTATCAAATGATAGTAGGATTTTAAAGGATCTCAAGTTAAAATTACTTTAGATTATTTTCATTTCATGTGAATTATTTTCAGATGCATTGTTCTTTTTGATATTTAGCTCAATATTTTCATGAAATTTGACTAGATACAAATCTAATATGAGGACATACCAACACAAAAAAGTGGAAATGCAAAGAACAGAGTTAAAACCTGAATGAATAAAATAATAAATATTATTGATTCTCCTAATAAAGAGCTAGTGATGAAATAATATTCAGTGACACTGTCCTCCCATTGTTCATCGATTTGATCGAGCAAGCCCAGTAACACTGTGAGACTTGTTATTGTGTTTGGCATATCAAATACCTCACGGGTAGCTTGCCAGGCTTTGAGAATTTCCCATAAACCAAAGCCACCGCCAGAGTCTGTCACCACGGCACTGAGCCTCAGAGACTGCCCCCCGCCCCACCATGCACTTTACTTCAATGCTGTGGTTTACAGAGTTGTTCATGAAGATTTGTTACAGGCATTCAACATTCCAACACCAACCCCAACACTGCTGGCAACTTCCCTCCACCATTGTCTCCGTTTTCCCAACTAACCCCCAATCCTGTCCCCACAAAATTTATTTTATATTACTTATTGCCCATTAATGTCTAACAAAATGATAAAAAAATATTCCCTTAGAAGAAAATTAGTGAAAGTTTTTTGTATCTCATCATGAGAAGATTAAGTCCTAGTCTGAGGTTCTACTAAAATGTTATTACAATTTAAGCTCTGGTGTTAATGCTTTTGTTAGTTGAGATTGGCTGGGTTCTCCATGACCTCCCATCCCATCTGTGTGCTCCTTCTGGAGTGTCAGCATTGCAGAGTTAGAAGATGTCATGTGGCCTTGAATTTGGCCGCTCACCCAAAATATCCAGTTATTAACTAGTCAGTCTATCCTGAGTTAAATTTTTGACTGCTGAGCTCACCTGGCAGTAGGGGTGGTTCTTGGGCTCAGCTGCAGGGACTTCTGGTAGTACAGGGAGGTGTGGGGAGGTTTCCCATCCCGACTGTGAGAAGGCACAGAGCTCTCAGCCTCAGGGGCCTGAGAACCCAAGACTTCTTCTGGGTGAAGGTCACCTCACAGGGTCTGAACCTGACCAAACCCCAGACACACGGGTCCCTGGGGCTGACGTCTCAGGCCTTCTCTGAACCTGGGTGGGCAACCCCCCACCCCCATGTCCTTCCAGAAGCCCTGGCAGCCACACCCATGAGCCCCCTCAGCTGCCATGTGAACAGAGTTACTGGGGCCACCTCAGCCATTCCCAGCCCTCAGCCCTTCCGCCTGCCCCACCTGCTCCCGGTGCCCAGTGCAGGCTCCCTGAGCGTCCAGCTCTTTCCCAGCTTTCCTTCCTGCACCTGTCCCCTCCTTCCAGGACCCTCGCCACCCTCTGGAGACAGAGAGGCAGGAGGAGTGGACGTTGGTCTTTGTGCTGTCTCTGTTGCTCCCCTGACCTGACCTGGGGGTGCTCACTGTCCACCTGGCCACCCGCTGGGGGTCAGGAGCTCTGCCCCAGGGGGATCCCTGTGCAGTCCCCGCAGCTCACCCCTTCTGAGTCCACTGCACTCAGACTGGCCCACCCTCCACAGAACCTAGACACTCCATGGGAAGGAGTGGGCCCAGTGGGACCCCGGGCAGGGCCCCTTCTCCTAGGCCAGGCCCGATTCACCTGAGAGCCCGCAGAGGAGGAGCAGGAACGCAAGCGGCCACATCCTCTCACCCTGGTCTGGGGTATGGGCACAGCCCAAGCAACAGACAACATTCTAGACACAGCCCTCGGCTGTGCCACTGGGGGCAGTCCAGGGCCCAAGTCCACTTCAGCCAGTGCCCAGACCCAGCTGAGAGGCAGCTCCCGCTGGGACATTCCCTGCCTGCAGACATAGCCCAGAACCCTCCTGGGCCCAGCCCCTGCCCTGGCCTGTCCCCGCCCCCTGCAGCTTGGCCCTGGGGAGGGGCCCATCTCCCCTGGCCCTCTAGGACTGTCCACTGGGGACTTCTAGGGCTGGAGGTTGAGCAAGGGCCACGGTCACGTCTGGGTCCCAGCAAGCACAGGCCCGTGAAGCCCCACTTGAGACACAGCGGTGCCCTGATGGAGGAGAGAGGGGAGGGGACCCCCAGTTCTGTGCATCCTCTTAGGCTCCCAGTGAGGAAGGCAAAGGCTCAGGATGATAGAATCCCCGGGAAGCAGGGAGGCGAGCCTGTAAGTGAGAGGGCTGGACCTAGAGTCGGGGGCCCCCTGAGCTGGTCCCCGAGGCCTCAGGCAGGAGTGGGAGAGGTGGGGGGAGTGTGAATCAGGGTCCTCAGCCCAGGCCCCCAGACCTGAGTGAAGCTCTCACACCTTTAGCCTGTCAGAGGTGCAGAGTGAAGTGTGTGGGCGGCCACAGAGGCACTGGTGGGGGTGGGCCCCCATTTGCATGCTGGTCTGTAGCCAGAGCTCCAGGCTGGCCTGGCTGGGCCCCAACCCTGGGGAGGACCCTGAGCCCCGGGCTGTGGCTCCTGCGGTCCCAGCTCACAGGCTCAGGAGGCTGAGGGAGGGTCAAGCCCTGGTCCCCGGAACGCCCTCACCCAGCAGCCCCCAACCTGGCCTTCTGGGAGAAGCGCTTCCGGCCCAGGGTTCCCAGCACCCTGAGCCACTCCCTCACCCTAGCCATTGTGTGGGTGGAGGAGTTAGCTAGGTGCCGGCACCTCAGGGCTCACGCAGTCACTGTGCCTGTCAGCCTCTCCCCTCTCAGGTCTCCCCATTGTTTCCTGCCTCGCTTTTCCCATGTCTTGCTCCTGAAGGGTGCAAATAACCTGGGTCAGCACCTCTGACCCACACTCTGTCACCTCTCCAGGTGCTCTGTCGCTCTTCCCGGAGGCCCGCACTGCTGACACAGGTGTGGGGCGGGTCCCCCACTCAGGAAGGCACATCCAGCCCCAGGAAGCTGGGCTGAGGGGCAGACTTTGATGGCTGGGGTGCGTCTCCACAGGAACCGATCCCTGGACCACAGTTCCGGGAATAGTCGCTTCAGGCTCAGATGCTCCCTCATCCCCTTTCGCAGTCGCCCCTCCACACCCCACCTGCCCTCGCTGGAGCCCTTGCTCTGACGTTCCTTCCCACCATGGGGAGTCCCCCAATACTTCCCCAATCTCTCACAGGTCTCTGTAAGGGAAGGTGCAGGGCCGGGGGCCCAGTACAATGGGGGTCTCAGGGCCTGAGGATTGGGGTATCTGGACAGGATGACGCAAGGTCGGGGGACACAACGGAGGGAGACATGTGTGAGGAGCGTATGTCTGAGGGGGACGCGTGTAAGGAGAACATCTGAGACTCTGTGTGTGTGTGTGTGTGTGTGGTGTGCAAGTGTTCATGGTGTGAGTTGTGTTCCTGGGCAAGCTCTTGGGAGTTTGCACTTTGCTGTGCCATGAGGTCTGTGTGACTGTCACATGGCACAAAATTATATTTGTGCTATGATTTCAGGTTCAAGCATGGAGTGAGGCATGTATGTGTGTGATGTGACTGGAGTGTGTGTTTTTCTTATGGTGTGAGATGTGTGTTGTATGATTGTGTGTGGTGTCAGGAAGTCATGGCCTGTGGTGAGGAGTGTGAACCTGAGATGTGGTGTGAGAGGTGTGTGTGTGTGTTTGTGTTTGATACACCCCTTGTTTTGTAAAGATCCGCATGGTGTGAGTTACTATATTTGTGGTGTAATTTGTATGTGATATGTTTTGTGTAGTGTCAGTGTGTTTCTTTGGTGTGAGGGGTATGAATCTCTGATATTAGGTGTGTCTGTGTCTGCAACATAGTATGAAGTATGCATATCTGTGGCCTGAGGCACATGTGTGTATGGTACGAGGGTATGAGTGTCTCTTCTCTGAGCTGTTTGTGTGTCTCAGATCATAACAGAAATGTCTCTGTGGTATGAGCTGTGTGTGCACTGTGAAGTATGTATGTGAATATTTGTGGTGTGAGATGTATGTGTGTTTTTGTTGTAATGTATTTGTGTGTGTGTCTATGGTGTGAGATTGTGTGTGTGTGGTATGTCTACCGGTGTGTTTATGAGTGTGTGGTGTGAAGGGTACGTTTGTGTGTTTGTGTGTGTCTGAGATAGTATCAGGGGAGTGTTTGGGGTCTTCATCTGCTACTCCCATGTGGAGCCCCGAGACAAATACTCAGGAATCACCATGATTTTCTTATTCTTTATCTTTTTTTGCTGTTTGCTAAGGAATTACCCTCCTGTCTCTGCATGCAGGAATCACTTGAGGCAGTGCTGGGGGACCCTATGGGATGCTGGGGATGAAACTGGGTCAGCCTCATACAAGGCAAACGCCCTCCCGGCTGTACTATCACTCCAGCCCCATGATTTACATTTATTATAAAGTCAAAAGAGGGAGCTGGGGAGTGGTCAAATGGTGGGGCACACGCCCTGAGTGCAGACACCCTAAGGTCAACCCTAGTTCATATGGTCCCTGAAGACCTTCAGGAGAGACCCCTGAGACTGACAGCCAAGATGAGCACTAGCCTGAGGAGTCCACAAGCACTGCTGAGTGTGGACCCAAACCTAACCCCCCAGTCAGGCAGAGGGCAGTGAGGGCCACAGTTATCTGAGCATGCTCCCTGATGAGCATGTTCCCTTACAGCAGCCCCCCAAGGAGCAGACTCAGAGAGCCCCCAGACCTCCTGCTTCCCGGGGACCCCAATATCCTGTGTCAGTTCCCGACAGAATGGCAGGGATGGGTCCCAGGCTGGGGAAGAAAAGGTGCAGAGGATAGACTCAGCTACCCTTCACAGAGGGCCAGTGGAGGGGAGGAAGCAGAGACGCCCAGTGGGACCTGTTCTGTGGAAACTCTGTTTGGGGACATGGAAACAGGCTCTAACGGAAGCACATTGTGAATGGTGACCTCCTAGATCTGACACCAGGCAAACAGCTTCGGGCTGGCACCTAACACGCCCCTCAGCAGGTCTTGGGGAAAAGAGTTTCAGGGGCTGGTGAGATGGATGGAACAGGGCTTATGGCATTTGTTTGCATGCGGCTGACCCGGGTTCGATCCCTGGCACTCCAAATGATCCTCTGAGCCTGCCAGGAGCAATCTCTGAGCACAGAGCCAGAGGAAGCCTGAGCGCTGTGGGGTGTTGCTGGAAAACCCAATAAAAATCCCCCAAACACCAGGGAAAAAGAGTTGTTTAGGGCTAAACGAAGAATGTGAGATGGCCAGAACCTGGACAAGGGCTGGACTCATCTGCCCCAGCATGTCCTGCATTTATTGTCCAGCCCTGTTGCTCGTGAGAGGAAGGGGACATTCTCTCCTCACATATTGGAAAGGCCAGTGGGAGCCGGTTCACAGATGGACAAGAAGACACAGTTCAGTCGGGCATAGTTGTGGGCTGGGCTGGGTGCGGGTCATCTAGAGCCCCTACTTTCCACAAAAGCTGTTTCTCCTGGGTGCTGTTTCTGCTGGAAGCTGCGAACTTGTTCCAAGGGAAGAGGCCAGACGTTCTCTTCTCTGCGTCCTATGTGGGACCCTCCTGCTCCTTCACCCCATCTCTGATGACTGTGTCCCACATCAAGCAGGACCTGGAAATGCTCAGCTGTGGGCCCGCAGTGTTTCAGAGGTGGGGACCAGACCTTGCAGGGTGGGGACCCCGGCTCTGCCTGGCACCCCGATTTCTGAATCCCTCAATGCTCTGTGATTGGAGGGTCTCTGTCCGTTTCCTAGGGCCCCTCTGAGGCCAGCTTGCCCAGACGACAGCCCCCATCATGACCACCAGCAGGGGCACTTTCAGGAAGACCAGAAGCAGAAAGTGGAAACTGCTGAGCAGGGACCTGAGGGGGAAAGTGACAAGAAATGAGGCACCTCCCAGTCCTTCTCCCAAGCCCCTGGGCTCATCCCCTGCGTGAGGGCACCAGAATGTCCCCCAGGACAGCCCCTGGGCCTCAGTCGCCTGGGCCTTGCTCAGCCCAATGATCCCATCAGGAAGGGAGCACTGATGACCCCTAAGCCCCAGAACCCTGTAACTGGCCAGATTCTCCCCCCATGGCCAGGGACCCTCACGAAGTCTCTAGGGCTGACCCGGAAGAGGAAGCAGGTCTCAGTTCACCTTTTCTGAGTGATTGGGAGGAGAAAACCTCAGAACAAGGACATGTAGGGAGGGGACATGAGGGTTCTGTGGGGGATCAGGGTCCTGTCATGGGCTCACCTCTCTTCTTCTAGAAGCCTCAGAGTGGCTGAAGCTGGGGGTTCCAAGCCTGGACTTAGTTCCCCCCTCTCGGCCATGGTTGGCAGCAGAGATAGCCAAGGACAGGAGGCCAGGGATGAGACACTGCCCCATGGCTTCTGGCCACCAGGGTCGGGAATACTAGGACGACCCAATATCCATGCAGAGAAGGGGAGGGGAGAGAAAAGAGGAGAGAGGAGGGAAAAGTAGCGTAGAGGAGGGGAGGGGAGAGGAAAAGAGGGGGAGAGGAGAGTAGGGGAGATGAGGATAGGGAAGAGGAGGGTAGGAAGAGGAGGGGAGAGGAAAGGAGGGAAGGGAAGAGAAGAGGAGAGGTCGGGAGAGGAGGGTAGGGGGGCAGAGGGAGGGGAGAGGATTGGAGAGGAGGGGAGGGAAGGGAGACAAGAGGATAGAAGGGGAGAGGAGAGGTGAGGAGGGAAAAAGAGAAGGGGAGAAAAGGAGGAGGAAGGAGAGGAAGAGGGAGAGGGCATACTGGAGGGGGAGGAGGGAGAGGAGCCAAGACAGGCACAAGTGTGCCAATGACAGCTCAGACAGCACGTGACAGGCTCCTCCCTGCAGTGCTCCCACCCTTGAGAGAAGTGTCCTCCCCCAGAAGCTCAGATCATCAGCACCTCCTTTGGGAGCTCTGAGAACTCGGTGCTGCCACCGGGTCAAGGTTGAGAGTCCTGAGCTCCGGGTCCTGAGCCAGGGGAGGTCCTTGGAGAGGACACGGGCAGAGGGCAGGACAGGAGGCATGGAGGGCATGGATCGAGGGATGCTGGCAGGGACAGAGCCACAAGCAGGAACAGGTAAGAGGTCCTCCATGGGGCCCAGAGGGTACCGACATCCCATCCATGTCTTGGTTTCAGTTTTGGGATCTTTGGGGCTCAGAGAGAAGCAGGGGACCCCAGCTGGGCCCCTAGAGGAGCCTGAGAGCCCAGAGACAAGTCCTGGGGGTCCCCCATGGAGCAGTGGGCCCAGAGGGACGCGGCAGAGAGCAGAGCATGCAGCCAGCTCACATGGTGTTGGAGAGGGCCCTGGTCACCCTCGGGGCGTCTGTGGTCTCTTCTGTGGTGGCTGCTGTCGTGGGTGTGTTGGTGGTTGTGGTGGTCATTGTGAATACGGTGATGGTGGTCCGGGCTGGGGTTGGAGTTGCACAGAGAGACCAGATCACAGGCGGCTCCAGCTGCCCAGCCAGCCCTGAACTGAGCAGAGAGCGCTGAGCCCAGAGAAGGCAGGGGTACCCAGGGGTGGAAGAGCCCCAGAGCATCGCAGAGAAGCCCCTCCCCCACCTTGTACCCACATAGGTGTGAGGCCAGGACTCAGCCCAGACTGACTGATGAGGACAGAAGAGGGTCCTGGGAGAAGCCAGAGCATGGCCTGGGGGACTTGTGAAATGGACAGTTACCTACCTGGATTGATGGTCACTGTGATCGAGAAATTTAGATCAAGTTTAGTTGTCTGAATCCCGCACCAGTACGTGCCCGCGTCACGGTCCCTGAGCCGCTCTATGGTCACGGTGAACCTGCTCTGACTCTTGTCGTCCCAGATGCTCACCCGGTCCTTCCTCACCACTGGCTCTGCTCCAGTGGTTTCAACACGGTACAAACAGCCACTCCCCACCATCCCGCGGCACCACCACTTCTGGTCCCACTTATACCTGGCATCATACTGACAGGTCACAATCAAGGAGCCTCCAGCTCGACCGACAACTTCTCTGGGTCCCTTGATAACAGTTGAATCTGGAGACAAAGGCATAAGCCTATCAGCTCCCAGCACGGGCAGCGCCATCACTGGGCACGAGGACTCGCCCCATTGCTCCCCACCCAGGGACACCTGCCTCCCCCAGTCCCCCCTTCTATCCTCCCCGGAACCCCCAGGACCCTATACAGACCTCAGAGACTCAAGGCTGACCCTGAGCAGTGACGGCTCATGGCTGGCGGCCCAGATCCACTGCATATAGGCCGGGAGAGCGGATGCCCAGAGAATGGAGGAGTCGTTTCCTTAGCCCCTTTAGGATTATCCCAGAGCTCTCGGGAAAAACCCTTTCTTGAAGTTGCTCGCCATGGAACCCAGGACCTCATGTCAAAGCAAGTGCTCTGCACTGAGCAATGTCACTAGCCTCATACCAATTCTATTTTTTCTTTTTGTGTCACACCTGGTGATGCACAGGGGTTACTCCTGGCTCTGCACTCAGGAGTATTATTACTGGCGGTACTCAGGGGACGCTATGGGATCCTGAGACTCGAACCTGGATAGGCCCTGTGCAAGGCAACACCCTGCCCGCTGTGCTATCACTCCAGCCCCTCATACCAATTCTTTTTTTTTCTTTTTTTGGCATTTTGGGGTCACACCGGGTGATACACAGGGGTTACTTCTGGCTCTGTACTCAGGAATTACCCCTGGCAGTGCTCAGGGGACCATATGGGATGCTGAGAATTGAACCCGGGTTGGCCGCGTGCAAGGCAAACGCCCTACCAGCTGTGCTATTGTTCCAGCCCCATCATACCAATTCTTTTTTTTTTTTAATTTTTATTAGTGAAACACCATGAGGTACAGTTGTAGACTTACAAATTTTTGTGTTTGGGTTTCAGTTATACAACGATCGAGTACCCATCCCTCCACCAGTGCCCATTCTCTACCACCACTAATCCCAGTATCCCTCCCACCCCATCCCCCATCGCACCCTGCTTCTGTGGCAGGGCACTCTCTTTTGTTCTCTCTCTCATTTTGGGTGCTGTGGTTTGCAAAAGAGGAATTGAGTGGCAATCATGTTCGGTCTATAGTCTACTTTCAGCATGCATCTCCCATCCTGGGCGGGTCTTCCCAACACCCTTTATTTGGTGCTCCCTTCTCTATCTGAGCTGCCTTTACCCCTAGAGTATGCGGCTGGCCTCCAAGCCATGGAGTAAACCGCCTGGCATCATACCAATTCTTAACTGGGCCAAATTACTTGATTTGGTCAATATTTATATTTATAATGAAAACTGCTGATTTATTGCAATGGTAAATTTTTACTACTTGTGCTGATATAAGTTTGCTTAAAGATTTCTTTATTTTTAACCCCCTCATGCATTCAAGCTGTTTTGAATTCAGTTGGTATTACTATCTTTTATTATATAAGTTATTAATTTCTCTCACATTTAAATTGATTTCTTTTATTTCTTTGAGAATATTTCCTGGGGCCAGAGCGATAGTACAGCAGGGAGGGCATTTGTCTTGCATGCAGCCCACTTGGGTTCAATCCCCGGCTTCTCATATGGCCCCCAGCACCCCCAGTAGTAATCCCTAAGTGCAGAGCCAGGGGGGACCCCTGAGCATTGCTGGGTAAGACTCAGAAAGAAAAAAATAAGAGAATATCTCCTATACTTTCCAAAAGAAATCTTATAATTTTGTTCTGTGATTTAGTGAAGCATGGTGAAGACTAACAATTTATTCTTTGGGACCCAGAGTGATAGTATAGTGGGGAGGGTGTTTACCTTCACACAGCCAACCGGGGTTCATCCTCTACATACATATGGACCTGAGCACTACCATGTGTGATTCCTGAGTGCAGAGCCAGGCGTAACCCTTGAGCGTTGCTGGGTGCGACTCCACCAACCCCCCACCGAAAAAAAAAGATATGCTCCTTTGGGCCAGAATAATAGTGCTTCAGGCAGGGTGCTTTCCTTGCACATGGCTGGCCTGGGTTTTGACCTGCGGCATCCTGTATCCACACCAGGAGTGATCCCAGAGCACAGAGTTAAGAGTAAGCCCTGAGGGGCCAGAGTGAGAGTACAGTGGGGAGGGCTTTGACTTCCATGTGGCCAACCTGGGTTCAATCCCTGGCCCCCCATATGGTTCACTGAGCATTGCCAGTAGTAATTCCTGGGTACAGAGTATTGCCAGAGGTCACCCCAAAAGCCAAGAATAAATAAATCAATTCATTCTAAAAAAGAAAGAGTTATTCCTGACCATAGTCATGTGTGGCCAGAGATCAAAAAAACAAAAAGCAAAAAACAAAAAAGATTTTCCCCTCCACTTTCAAAATGGAGATATCTTTTGCAAAGCACCCAGTACTGCACAGGGCCTACTCCTGTCTCTGTGCTCAGGAATCAGTCTTGATGATTGATGCTTGAAACATATGGAGTGCCAGGGACCAAACTAGGGTGGGCGGTGCACAAGGAAAGCACATTAACTGCTGCATTCTTGCTTCAGACCCTACAACACAGGTGTTGTAAAGTTTCTGGGTCATGTACTAATTTAACAATAATTTATTTTTGAATTAGGTTTGGCTTTTACATACCATTTTGGATATGCAGTATTTCCTTCCTCTCTCCTCCTTTCCACCCTTCCTCCCTCTCATTCCTTCTTTCTTTCCTCATTCCTTTCTTGTTACGAGCCAAACATTATTCCCAGGACCTCACACATTCAAGGCAAGTACTCATCACTAAGCTACATCCCCAAATCTCAGTGTTTTTATTTAAAAAATATGAGTCTTAATACTTTTATATTGTCTATATTTTACATTATCCAATACTAGCCGGGTTTTAAAGGGAGCTCAAATTAAAATCATTTCAGATCATTTTTATTTCCTGTGAATGATTTTCAGGTGCATTCTTCTTTTTAATATTTAGCTCAATATTTTCATAAAATTTTGACCAGATACAAATATAACATCAAAACACAATTGCCACCATGCTCACTGCCAATCTCAATGGGCTCAGAGGAGCCTCATCCATGAGAGGATCTGCTGAAAAACCAGTCATGCGGGTTTTGTGACAGAAATCTCCAGGCTTGCACAGAGTTGGGATGGGTGATCACCCCCATCTCCCTGTTCTGGAAGCCACACCCTCAAGCTGCCTCTTGCACCAGATAAGCTCATTAATGCCCTGATCCAGACACTCACAAATAAACCTCCAAAGAGGAGGAGAGCAACATGCTGCAGAGATGCCTCCAGACCCAATGCCACCATCCAGTTAAAAATTTAACTCTAGCTGGATCACCCTAGTTAAAATCTTAGAATTCTTGGAGCATTGCCACATTTGTGGGCCATGGACACGTCACACTCTACACCACTGATGTACCAAGAGTAGCACACCACATTTGATGGAGTGTAGAGATAAGTAGTCTTGATTAAAAAAAAATTTATATTATCTCATTCTTGCTTTGGACAACCTGGCAGGCCACCGAATGTAACCTGCCCTCATGGTAGAGTCTGGCAAACTCCCCGTGGCGTACCCAATATGCCAAATACCAGTAACAATGATGGGTCTCATTTTCCTAACACTGAAAGAGCCTTGAAAGTGGCACTTTTTAGAATCTCAGGGCTAGGACGAAGGAGATGTTACTGGTGCCTGCTTGAGGCAATCGACAAACAACAGGATGATCGTGATATATATATATATATATATATATATATATATATATATATATATATTAGGATGCAAGTTTCAACCTTTAACAGCATGTTAGTAATCTCTCATAGAAGGACTCGATGGCTCCAGGGTGAAATACAACCATCTTCACACACTTTCCTCTAAGGAAACATTTTTGGGTCATTTTTAGCAGATTATTCATAGCAAGCAATCACTGTATCACTGTCATCCCGTTGGTCTTCGAATTACTCAAGTGGGCGCCAGTAAGGTCTCTATTCCTCCCAGCCCTGAGATTTTAGTAGCCTCTTCTTACTTGTCTTTTACCAACAATTGGAGGCTCTTTCAGGGTCAGGAGAATGAGACCTACTGTCATTACTGTATTTGGCATATTGAATATGCCACGGGGAGCTTGCCAGCCTCTGCCAGTGCAGGCGGGAAACTCTCAGTAGCTTGCCAGGCTCTCTGAGACGCATAAATTTATAGCAAACGAAACAAAGTAAATTATTTAGGACTTGCTTTGGTTTCAGGCTTTGGATGTTGGGGTGGAAGAATTCTAAATATGGTGGTAGGAAGGTGTAATGGTGGTGGGATTGGTGTTGGAATATTGAATGTAATAAACTATTGTAAAAATATTTATAAAAATTAAATGAACTTAAATAAAAAGCATCAGGATACACTAACACAAAAGTGATAATGTGAAGAACAGAGAATAGTACATGGATGAATAAAATTAAAAAGAATATTTTTTCTCCTGATAAAGGGCGAATGATGAAATAATATTAAAATTGGGAGTTTCCCACAAGCCAAAGCCACAGCCATGCTCTAGGCAGAGTCCCGCGCCTCAGCACTGAGCCACACAGAGAAAATTCTTCCCCCACACTTTACTTAAACACTGTGGTTTTCAGAGTTGCTCATGAAGATTTGTTCCAGGCATTCAATATTCCATACCGACCCCACTAGCACTGTCACCTTCTCTCCACCATTGTCTCCATTTTCCCAACCACCCCCCAAGCCTGTCCCCACAGCAGGCACAGAATCATTGATTTTATATTGCTTGTTACCCAAAAATAACAGAAGGATCATATACAATATTCCCTTAGAATAAAATTAGTGAATTATTTTTTGTCTCACCATGCAGATATTAAGTCTGAGGTTCTACTAAAATGTTTTTACAAGTTAAGCTCCAGTATTAATGCTTCTGCTGGTTGAGTTCTCATGCCCTCCCATCCCATCTGTGTGCTGCTGCTGGAGTGTCAGTGTTGGAGAGTCTGGAGATGTCATGTGGCCTTGAATGTGGCCACTTGCCCAGAAAACCCCAGTTTCTAAGTAGTCAGTCCAGTGGAAGTTAAAATTTTGACTGCTAAGCTCACGTGGCAGTGGGAGTGGTTCTTGGGTGTAGCTGCTGAGACTTCTAGAAGTACAGAGAGTTGTGTG